GTGACCTATAATGTAGCAGCCAAGTGAAATCTTGTACCCAGTTTTGGACTCTCATTTTAAGGTTTTTTTATTTCTGTTCCCCCCACCAGGCCATGCTATTCCCTCTCTCATTTAATCCTCCTCCATGACCGCTGGAGATTAGGCATCCTTCCAGTGAAAATGATTGCTCACTCAGTCTCATTCTGCACTTCAAGCGTTACTTTATTCTCATGTTTGCTATGATGATTTGTGCAGGGTTTTAATTAACTTTTCAATGAATTCGGTAAAGAAGCAGTTAAAAATGAATTAGTTTGTGATTAAAAAAAAAAAGGGTCCTTTGGGGCACCTGGGTGACTCAGTGGGTTGAGCGCCGACTTCAGCTCAGGTCGTGATCTCACAGTCCGTGAGTTTGAACCCCGCATCGGGCTCTGTGCTGACAGCTCAGAGCCTGGGGCCTGCTTTGGATTCTGTGTCTCCCTTTCTCTCTCTGCCCCTCCCCCTTGTGTTCTCTCTCTCTCTCTCTCAAAAATAAAATAAACATAAAAAATGTTTTAAAAAAATTTATAAAAGGTCCTTTATCCTAGAGACCTGAGGACTTTTAGAACAAGGTTTTCCTTCTAGTAAAGGAAGAGAATCTTATTTTTCCTTCCCTTTGTTCCAGGTATGGATGGGTCAATCTCCTGATGTCTCTATCAGGTGACTGCAGAACCATGGGCAGAGCATGTGTAGTGGAGATACTCTCGGGCTTTTGTCTCATACCAAAGACCAGGAATCTAAAGCTGTTTCAATCGTTTAGGCACCTAGAGTGGAAAGTCATATCAGTCTCCTGATATGGTCTGCCAGGCTCTAATCTTTGGATAACTATCTGCTACCCACTGGTAGACAGAACTGGACAGGTTCTTAGAGGCCATGAGATCCAACCCATTTTATGAGTGGAGAAACTTAGTGCCATAAATGGTATGGTAGTCAGAATGGTGGCCCTCCCAAAAATGTCCATGTTCTAATCCCAGAACTTGTGAATATGCTACCTTACATGGTAAAAGCGTCTCTGTAGATATGAGTGAATATAGAATAAAGTTAGGGATCTTGAGGTGGGGAGATTATCTTGGATTATCCATGTTGCCCAGTGCAATCAAAGAGTCCTTATAAGGGGAAGAGGGAGGCAGGCGAGTGAGAGTTTGAAGAGAAGTGAACATGGAAGTAAAGGTCAGGGTGATGTAATTGCTGGCTGGGAGTCACCTGCCAAGGAATGTGGGCATCCTCTAGAATCTTGAAGAGCTAAGGAAATGAATTCTCCCCTAGAGCCTCCCTGCGGGCACCTTGACTGCAGCTCCATGGGACCCATTTCAGACTCTTGATCTCTAGAACTCTATAGTCATAAGTCTGTATTGTTGTAAGCTACTACACTTGTGGTAGCTTGTTATAGCAGCAACAGAAAGCAGATGCAGGGAATAGGAAAAACTGGGACAAGGACATCCCTTCTATCTGCTTCCTTGGTCTGGAAACCTTCTCTCTTCAGCCCCTTTCTTTGGTTGACCAACTGCTGTCGTGTTCAACCTTAGCCGAGGATGTGTTATAGCAGAGCCTCCCTTCGGCTTGATTCAGAACCTTACCTCAGTTCTCCTACAGTTCCCCGTGTCTTCTATGGAATATTCCACGTTGTGGGCTGTGAGACTGAGTTTTTCCCCTCCCCCAACTGACTGTGGACTCCGCAAGGGCATCAACTAGCGTCATTCATTCTTTGATCACCAATCTCTAACACAGGAGAGTCTTGATTGGTTCTGAGTGAATACATCAAAGAATACACAAAATATATTTTTTAAACTCAGCATTTTGAAGCTTTTTAGCAATCATTAATGAATAAATGTATTTTCTCTGAATATTTTTGCCTTTTTTTCTTTTTTCCCCCCCTTCTCATCCAGGCAAGTTTGAAGATGACTGCGGAGACTGTAAATTCAGGAGTGTTAACTGTGGAGTGACAGGAACCTGGAGACAGGCTCAGAATTGCTGATCCCAGGCAGGACTTGTGCCTCAAGCTCCTCACAAAGGGGCTTCCTTAAGCTTGTCACTGAGTTGTCCCAGCAACCTGGAAAAACAGCTCCCCTCTTTGAGGTGGTAGACCAGTTTTCTGATATTCCCCAACCCCCAGACTATCAAGTTCATCTCCCCAAAAGGGAAGCTTTTTTTCTAAGATGGTGAGAAAACACCAATGCCAGATATCATCTGGTTTCTGTTGAGGGGCTCCAAAACTCTGTCATGGGCTAATTGTTTCTATTCATACACATGAAGATAACCATGAATGGAGATCTGTCACCAGCTCCTGGTTCTTGATATCACTGGATTGACCTAGGCATATGGGTTATTTTGGAGAAGCTAGTCCTTTGTTTTCTAGGCTCTTCTATGGCACATACTCATGATTCCTGCAGGGGCCTTTGGTGGCTTCTTGAGTATCTCAGACCCTTAGGAGACAATAGGGTTCCTTTACCTCATTCCTTCAGTCTGGAAGTTGTGGGGCTGTTTCTGTCACCCAGCTCCTTCACTTTAACCTCTGTGGATGTGGCTCCTGCTCAGGGTTTAAAGGGTGCAGCTCATATGCCACCACCAGGAAGTATCTAGATACTGGTGAGATAGGAACTCAAATTGCTGGCTGCTCCATTCTCTTTACCAATATTTATTTCCACTTTGCAGATGAAAACAATTTATTATGAAAGCATGCTGATAGCCTGAAATAACCTGAAGTGGGCACAGTCTTGTGAAATACTTGGCAAGGAAATAAATACATATTCAGCCACTGAAACCAAAAGGTTTATTGCCTAGGAGGGGCTCCATGGAAACTCCTTCGCAAGGATATGTCTAAAGCAGTTATTTTCCTGACTTTGGTCTTTAGTATATCACTCAAGAAGACAAGATTCTGGAGAACCACGTGGAAAGGCGCTCAATGACTAGGTGAACTTGGAAAAAGTGGCCTTGGATGTCTCTCACAAATTTACAACACACCCTAGAAAAATCTACAGCACAGAAACCTATTTACATTTGTTTAACTCAGAATTTCCTATTTCCCCATGAAAATTTCCCTGCACAGAATACCTGTTAATATGTCACAGAATCAGTGTTCTGCAGCCCACATTTTGTGAATCCCCACATCTTGAGAAGCTTTCTCCAGGCTTCTTGGAGAGGTAGGCTTCCTTATCAGACTTTCTAAGTTGCACATGTTTATCATTTATGAGACAAGTGTCAGAGACCATCTCAGTTAATATAGCAACTTTGAGGTAGCTATTAAGCCTTCAATCAGTAGTTAATTACATAATTGATATTAGTTATCTACTATGGCATGACCCCAGGGCAAGTTTGTTATTACCTTTATTTTATAGGTGTAGATGGGGAAACTGAGTCCCAGGAAAGGTAAATAATCTATCCGAAGTCACATGATCTTCAGGTAATAGAGCCAGAAAGAAAATCCAGTTTCTCCGATTCCCAGTCTTTGGTTGTTTCCACTTTTTTCAGACTGCAGAGGAGTTACTACTGCCATTCTTGCACCAACATCACTCTAGAAGTTCAGAACAGGGTTGCTAAAGAGGTCTTTTTTATGAACTTGATTGAGATCTTGTCCTTCCTCATCTCCCAGCCTGTGCTTTCCCTGCGTCCAGCTCTGAGTTAGAGGAGGGAGGTTGGAGAGTTACTTTTTTAAAGATGTTTTTATTTATTTTTGAGAGAGCACAAGCAAGGAAGGAGCATAGAGAGAGGGGGACAGAGGAACTGATGTGGGCTCTGCACTGACAGCAGCGAGCCTGATGTGGGGCTTGAACTCACAAACTGAACCACAAGATCATGACCTGAGCTGAAGTCGGGACACTCAACTGACTGAGCTACCCAGATGCCCTGCAAATCACTCAAGTAGAGAGACCCACTCAGACCTGGGGAGAAGGAGTCATGTCCACATGACGCTCAGAACCCCAGTGGCTTTTGCATTTGCATATCCCAAAGACGGGAAGCAAGATGGCTTAACTCAAGACCTTTGAATCTCCCCCTCCTTGGCTGCTATGTAAGAGATTCTCTCCCAGACACGAAGCTTCAAGATGATCATTCTAATGGATTCCGAAGCACAGTGTGTAGAGTGGGAAGCCTTTGGACTCTGGGTTTCCTGTGTTGTGGTCTAAAACCTGTTCAGTCAAGTCGAATTGTACTGGTATTCTGCAGTTTGTGTTGGGAGCCCATGGCCAGCTGTTTATTATTTTAAAAACTCTGGGTTGCTGCCTTTATGCATGGGGGTGGGAGGGCAGCCTACTGTGCAAGGCGGCTGCCACCTTCTTCTGGGAATGACAATGTTGCTCTGTATACTCCACGGGGGCCCCTCAGGCAGAGCTACCGCATTCCGGAGCTCTACCCAGCCAGATGAACAGAGACTATTTCATCTCACCAGTTATCGAGACAAAGTCAGGGCTCTAGCAATTGTGTTCCTCCCTGTCATATAACCTTTTCATGAGGAAGACCCCACGAAGGCCTTGAGACCAGGACCCTCACAGCTTCACCAGAGTACTGGGGAAACGTGTTCACACTGGGCTTTATGAAACACACTCTTGCCTTCCTCACCTTTCAAAATGTGTCCCTGCTGGGTGCCCCATGGTAAGAATGTCTCAGTGTCCCACTGGAACATTTGTTATTGCCCAATCCAGCTCAACACCCCTTCCAGCCATGTCCCAAGAAGCCAGCGCTGAACACTTGAAATAAAACAGAGCGATGTCCTCGAGCTGTAAATGCCTCCCAAAGACAAACGGACAGAACTTCATTGTTTCAGGGAAGAAGGCGCCTCACATAGCGGTCACATTGTGGTTACCGGGGGCCCGATGATTAATCCACAGAGAGGATGTGCAGGAGAGAGGAGCTGGCATCATTCCTGCAGATGAAGATTCTTTACAATTTCATGTCTCTGACTGAACATGTGCCCCAGAAACACAAGATTTCCATTGTTAAGGTCTCTTTGGTGACCTCATTTTCCCAGTCGTGAGTTGGCATGTAAGTAATTACCTTTTCTGTCTGCACAGGGATACCGTGTTCCTGAAACTTAAGTGTTTCACACTTTAAAATATACATTGTGCTGCTTATAATTATGCTTCTGAAGGGGCACACTTACAGCGATTTATGAAATTTCTAATTTAGAAATGGGCTATGAGTCACTAGTGCATGGAGAAATTAGCAAAATCAGATACTGATCAGTGTACATATATACTCAGCATAAATAATTAGATTATTTTTAGAATCAATTTTTTAAAAGCTCTGTGCTAAGCTCTTTTAAAGGCACTCCAGAAGATTCCAGCAGTATCCACCAATGTCTACCATGGCTCTTGTCCATTGCATGATCACCACTGGGGGAGGTGGACTCTCTTACAATGGCAAATACTGTATGTGAGGGGCCGACGCAGATGTCATGATGATGCTGATGGGTGAAAATCCACAGTTCTGTCACTTACTAGTACTGGGCCGAGGACAACTTCTCTGAGCTTCTGTTCCCTCATCCAGGTATAAGGAATAAGTCATAAACTATGTATATAAGATGCCCTTGCACATACAGCTTATTGGAGTAACCTCTTAAATATGAATTTCAGCTCAGGGTGACACTATGATTTGGGACTGTTGTGGAAGTTTTTAGACATGGTTTCAGAGATTGTGCCTCTCAGGTCACTTTCAGAACTCGTGGGCTAAATGGACAGTATAATAGGGATGGTTATGGGAGTGGTGCAGGAAGCAGTGGGGGAATGGATTGGTTACCAGAATGAGGGAGATGAGTCTCAGAGAGTTCGTATTTATGTACCAGCTGACTGGGTCTTTGACCCAGCTCCTTTACTGCCAAGATTAAATGGATGCTAGAGCCTTTGGGGGGACCCACGTCAGAGGGCACTGCCTCTGGGTCTATGTCCAGAAGCTAGCTCTCCGTCAAGGCAGACTGAGATAAGATGTCACCTGTTTTTATAACCTCCCATCACACAAGCCAGGTCTAAAGCTCAGAAGACAACCCAGAGAGAGTTGTGTCCCTTTGTTTTGAGCTCAAGGGCTTTTTAATGCCATCAAATGTCTCCTTGTTCCCTTGTTGTGCAACAGGGCATGCAGCTCTGAATGGGACCTTTTGTAACTGGAAATTCCACAGTTCCAGCTGCCCCTGACTCTCGTCCATGCCAGACGACATCCCCAGAGACTTTGAAGTTGCATGTTTGAATGAAGCACAGCCCCACCCCACCTCTCACCCTATGTGCCTGCCCACAGTATCAGTCAGACTCTGGGAGAGCAGTGGGACCAGCTTCTGGCTACCAACAGGTAAGAGCTAGAGCTAGGGGGCCGGTGCTGCCCCGCCAGTCAGCTCTCCTAGTGTCTGGAGCTACAAGGATAGCACTTCCAGCAGCTCTATCTTAAGGAGGGACTGGGCTCATCTTGAGGGAATCCATCTAAGTCTCTTCTGAATCCTGGTTAGGCTGTCTTACCTGATGTAGACCCAAGCAGCCCTAGCCACATCGTGCCTGAAGTCAGCACAGCATCTGCTTTGCCTGCAGCCCCTGCTTTCCTGATTTGAAATTTTTTAAGTTTATTTTTGAAAGAGAGAGAGAGAGACGCAGAGGTGAGCAGGGGAGGGGCAGAGATAGAGGGAGACACACAGAATCCGAAGCGGGCTCCAGGCTCTGAGCCGTCAGCACAGAGCTCGATGTGGGGCTCGAACTCACCAAGTGTGAGATCATGACCTGAGGCGAAGTCGGACGCTTAACCGACTGAGCCACCCAGGTGCCCTACCTGCTTTCTTGATTTGTATGTGAAGAGATATATAGCCGTGTGGATTGAAAGCACATCAAAGCACAGAGATTGCTTTGTACTTAGTAGGAGAGGAGAAAAGAGTGGCATTTATTGAGCACATGCAATCTAACTGGCTGTTTGGTACTAAATTTTATTTATTTATTTATTTATTTATCATTAAAAAAAATTTTTTTTTAACGTTAATTTATTTTTGAGACAGAGAGAGACAGAGCATGAACAGGGGAGGGTCAGAGAGAGAGGGAGACACAGAATCTGAAACAGGCTCCAGGCTTTGAGCTGTCAGCACAGAGCCCAACGCGGGGCTTGAACTCACGAACCTGAGCCGAAGTTGGACGCTTAACCGGCTGAGCCACCCAGGTGCCCCACTAAATTTTATTTAAACATCACAACAAACACCATGAGGCCATCTCCATTTGCACAGATGAGGAAATTGAAGATCAGAGACTATGAAGTTTGCCCAGGTCTTTCTAGACACTAAGTGGAGAGATGAGATTCAAACTATGGTCTATTTAGCTCCAAGATAGACTCTTTCTTTTAGAGCATCATTATTTTCAGATCCCTTTCCCGCTGAGACTAATTATTAATAAGCCTTCCTCCTGGGCCAGCTCCTTCAGTGATGTGTCTTAAGCAGAGACATTCTGACTTGGCCCCCTCTAGCTCTTTCCTTTCCTCCCTGACAATCATTTCCCTGGCCCTCTCTAAATGCCCAGAGGCCTCAGGTTCTCCCTATTTCTCCCTCAGTGCCCCAGCCAGAATGTATCTGAGATCCTTCATTCATGTTCCAAAGGCATAAAGGACATTTAGAGAAGAGCTTCCTGTGCACGCACTGTCCAAACTCAAAATAGGGATTTAAAACCATCAGCACAGGGGAAGACTGTTGTGGAGTAGCATCCAGGTCTGATTGTGTTTTATACTACAGGAATCCAGCACAGTGTTGTGCCTATGCAAGGATAGATGAATGAGTGGAGCTCTGAGAGATGAGGCCCCTGGTGGAAGGGCGCTTGAGGACATCAGGCCACTTTCCTTGCATCTATGAAGTCATACCATGTTGGCTGACACCTCATAAGCCTGGACACAATGCAAGTATCCCAATATGTTAAACTTATTTGTCCATTTACAATTTCATTCGATGTTTACTGAGCACCAACTTTCTGTTAGGTCATGCTGGGGAAGATAGCAGAATGGAAAAATGTAGTCTCTGTCTCAACAATCCAGGTGGGAGAAGACTTGAGTTTCATGCAGAAAGCAAGATAGCAAGGAATGGACACTTATCTCATCTTGAGAGATATCTATGAGAAGACTTCCTGAGTGGGATGGCTTTGAGTTGTTACAAGGATGTAGTAAGAAATAAAAATCCGTAAAGGCATTAAGCAACAACCACAGCAACACTGTTTTTTTCTATATTCACACCAACATTTCTGACATCAGATGTGTGGGTTTTTCCACACCAAGCAATTCTCTAGTTCTCGGCAGTCACCAGTTGAGTGTCCTACAATTTAAATTCCTACACTAACTGGACAGACCACACAGGTTAAGAGCTTAGTCCACAAGACTGTCCCCCACTTCATAAACCAGTTGCAAGGCCTGGGTTGTCACCTGTACTTCTAACTGACTGGCCATAAACGGGGGTTCCCACAACTCCTCCTTGGATTGGTACATTTGCTAGAACAGGTCACAGAACTTGGGAAAACAGTTTACTTACTAGTGTACCAGTTTATTATAAAAGGATACAACTCAGGAATAGCAAGAAGGAAGAGAAGCAAGCATAGGGCAAGGTGGGAAGGGGTTCATGGAGCTTCCATGCCCTCTCTGGGTTCACCACCCTCCCAACACCTCAATGTGTTCACTAACCAGGAAACTCTCTCTACCCTGTTGTTTGGGGCTTTTGTGGGGGATTCATTACATAGGCATGGTTGCTTAAATCATTGGCCACCGGTAATTGAAAATCTCCAGCCCCTCTCCCCTTCCTGAGGAGGTTGAGGAAGGGACTGAAAGTTACAACCCTGTAATCACATGGCTGGTTCTCCTGGAAGCATCCCTCCATCTTTTGGAGCTTTCCACAAGTCACCCCATTAGTATAAACTCACGTATGGTTGAAAGGGATATATTATGAAAAATAAAGGATGTTCCTTTCTCCTCTATCACTCAGGAAACTCCAAGAGTTTGGCAGTTCTGTGCCAGGAATTGGGAACAAAGATCAAGTATACACTTCTTATTATATTACAGTATCACAGCTTTCCATGCAGAGGGGGCAGAGCAATTAAAGCAGAGCAGGTGTGAAAAAAAAATGTGAGGTGTGGCTATAATAACGAATTTCTGTGAGAGGGTGGGAATGAGCTTGAACAATCAGTAGCAGCCTTGCTGTGTTAATGAGTTTGAAACTATATTATTCTCTTGTGGGGGCATGGATAGTAATTATACTTTACACACATAGAATGATTCTGTGAGCAGTAAGCACTCTGCTTTATGTGAATGATCTCATTAAATATTTGCTACCACTCTGACTTGGGTACTCTTACTAGTTCCACATGATATATGAATAAACTGAAGGACAAAGCCACACAGATAGTCCATGTCAGAAAGTTTTAACCACCATACCCTTCTGCCTCTAAGAGATATGATGGAGTGAGCTCCCCAGAAATGGAGGTTATCCCCTCTGAGGACAAGCAACTCATGGACATAAAGGACAAATTATAACCTCAAGCCCTGGCTTGGTAGCTGTGCTCGCAAAGATCCAGCTCCAGATGACACTGCCAGGATGGCAAGAACCATTGTGCTGGCCTGGCTGGCTCATCAAATGGGCTTAGATTTGTGTGTTCAACATTTAGGAGACATTTAATCTAGTGGAAGCCAAGAACACGTGGAAAATGACCTCGTTGGCTCAGGGCTGAAGTTGAAATGCCTGGCTTGAATTTTGGCTTCACCTGCCCCTTCCTCTTTTCCGGCTGCTCCTGTGGCCATGTGGCCCAATCCCAAGGCCACTATAGAGTAGTCTGTGCACAGAGTTGTAGCTCCTGGCCACCTCATGTATCTACTTTGCTCCATTACAGAATCCACTAATTTGAGTAACAATCTGTAAAATTATCCAAGAAGACCAAAGTTGAGACATTGCTAATGTGTGAAAAGGTTCCCTGCTATGAGAAAAACTGGAAGGAGATGTGATTCATTGAAAAATTTTGCTGAAAGGCCCAAATAATCATTTGGGGTGCAACATTTCTACATTAGTTCATATATATATATATATATATATATATATATATTTTTTTTTTTTTTGGCAGAAAACTCATATATCTTCTTTTCTCTACCAGCCCAGTGAAGCAGGCAAGTATTCTTTTCCTTTTTTGCAGGTGAGAAATCTGAAACTCAGAAAGTGACTAACAGAGCCAGGCTTTCCAAATCAAATCTGTTTGACTTTTCCTTCAGTACTTCTCCTTGTTGGCAGTGCTTTTCCTAGTCCTTCGAATCCAGGCCAAATGCTCTCTCTTCCACCTGAAATGATGCTGCTTAGTTTGTCGATCAGCAAGGATGGTGTTCTGCTTGCTTGCACCAGTGTGACATTTTTGTTCATTAATGGATAGCACCTTTCTGATTGGTCGATGACAATGTCATAGTAGTTATTAAATATTTTGATTATTGCTTCTGTTTTTATATAAATATGTAATATTTCTACTACATTACTTTAATTCGAAAAGGATTTATGGCTGTTTATAAAAATACCACAAACCAGCAGGATAGCATCTATCAGAAGTAGATAACAGTAGGGGCCGCTGGGTGGCTCAGTCGGTTGGGCGTCTGACTTAGGCTCCAGTCATGATCTCACAGCTTGTGAATTCGAGCCCAGCGTCGGGCTCTGCGCTGACAGCTCAGAGCCTGAAGTCTGCTTTGGATTCTGTGTCTCCCTCTCTCTCTGCCCCTCCCCTGCTCGCACTCTGTCTCTCTCTCAAAAATAAACATTAAAAAAAATTTTAATAAAAGTAGACAACAATAAGATAACATCTATCAGAACTAGGTAAAGAAGCAAAAAGTAATACAAGGATAGAAAGATAAATTTATGCAGGAATGAGACCACCACAAAAGTGTAGATTGTAAGTCTGAGACACTTGCTAGAGAAGAGATGAGCTACTTGTTGGATTCTAAACCTGCCAGGAGCCAATGGCAGAAGAAATAGTGATTGGTTACGATGCACTGTATCTTCAAGAAAAACTAAATGAAAAGCGTATCTTAAAGTTATCTTCCCTAGACCCCTCAGAAATAGATCACTAATTTAATTAATACTATTCCCATGATATCTATGGAGTGGTCAGGACGGCAATGAGTTTCAAAGGGTCATTCCATGGGCTGCTTGACTGACAGCCCCAATATCCTGCACATGTCTCTATTGCCTTGAGTTGTCTGGTGACCTTTGGGGCAGATTTGCCTTCTCTCTCTACTTATAGTTTCTCTGATTAGATTCAAAGTTTCCTTGGAAAATTACCAAAAACAGTAACTTTTTAAAACTAGAAAAATAAGAGTTAAACAACAACTGAGGGGATGGGAATACCAGGTTCTGCTCTAAGATTTTACATTTCTTACCTAACTGAGCTCCTTTGTCCACAAGACAGGAAAGCCAAGTCGTGTCCATTGCCTTCTGACCTAACAGGTGGATAATATTACAGATGTTCCTGGAATTCTTGTCAACTTCAGACAGAAAGTAGTGCAATTCTTATGCCCATTCATTGCCACTTATTCCTTCATCCTTTTATCAGAAGTGTGTAGAAAGTGACTGTGTGCCTGCCCTGCAGACATAGATGTGGGTATGACATAGTGCTATCCTGGAAGGGCTCATGCAATGAAAAAGAAGACAAAAATGCTCATGGATGATCATAGCACAACACAAGAAGCACCGTAATGGGGATATGTACAATGTGATGGGGAGTAGGGAGAAAAGAAGCATTATTACCATCTGGGAGGCCAGAGATGGACTTCTAGTGGAGTTGATGCTTGATTCCAGTCCTGGCACAAATCCCTCAAAGAATGAAGGATGGAAAGACATTATTGATGGGGAGAAAAACATATTTATAGCAGGCAGTGAGCATGTGTTTGGGCAATAGAGAAAATCTGAGGAGCACAGAGCAGAGTTGATCAGACTATCTCATCCACAAACCATGACTGTTTATTATATTCTAAAAGAAAAAAATGCCTAAGCACATGACTAATTTAAATTTTAACATGGTGTTCTTAGGAGCCAAACCTTCTCCATCTGCATTCATTAACACTCTGACGTGGGTTGCTGACAGGATCAGCCAGAAGCACAGTGCCATGTGCTGGGCACACGCAGGGCTGTTTGATGGCCATGCCTCAAAAGATGAGCTAGTGACTGCCCATTTCCCCAAAGACATAACACTTTTTTTTTTTTTTAATTTGAGCAACAGAATATGATGTTACGTCTTCCATGATGTACTTCTCTCCTTTTTGGTGAAAAGTGTTGGGCTTTGGCTTCATGTTTTGGTCTTGCATAAACTCTACTCTGTATGATTAATATGCAGCTCAATGGCCAAGAAAGAATGTTCTGCCTCCAACCCAGTTGCATAGGCAATAATCCCAAAGCCATAGATTTTCAAAAATCATACTGCGAGTTAATTTTTTTCTAGCAGGAAGATCACATTGCCAGAAGAATGAAGTTGCCAAGTGCCAGGTTAAAGCTTTGCTTTGTGAGCTGTCTTCAAATGGGGGGAAAAATCAGTCTTCAGATAGTAAGTGTTTGAGTTTTAAAAAATTAAATCCATATTGGAAGTAACCTTTGAGGATTTAGGACACATCATTCAATACTTTTAATTTCATCAGTAGCAGTGGAATCAATATGAATATCAGGGGATTTGCTATGTAAACTTAATAGACTTGAAAAATCTTAAAGTCCAAATGAATGAATTATAAATGTTCTATTAAGACAGATAATTGGCCAAATATATAAATATATAATTCTCCTTAAGAATTGGTAGTAAAGTCCTTTTTATTTTCAAAGAGAAAAAAGTTAGAATCTTTGTCTTAACTTCACAAGAGTTCACAGACTCAAAATCTGTGCTCACATCTCTTGTTTGCTGAGTGATTGGAGTCATCCAAGCTAATCAGTAGACCTAATATTGGGTTTCAGTCAGTTGTCTAAGTTTGCCAGATCCCTGAAAGGGTTCTGCCACAAGCAAATGCTCATTAGCCAGCTTCCTTACTGCAATAGTAATTTTCTTTCATTCTATTTAAAGCAACCCTCACTCATACCATGGTAAATGATTTTACACTGCACAAAATGTGCTGAAGTGCTCACATTTTGGCTGATCACAAACCACACAGGAATAGGACTTTACTCTTAAAGAATAGTTTGTGCCTGCCTTGGGTCTTTGCTGCTTGCTTTTGACATTCTTTGCCAACTCCACATTCTCCAAGAAAGTGTAAATCCTACCACGGGAAAACGAGGTGTAGAATATGTGCCTCATTTGATGACATCACCTTCTGGTCAGGGCCGTAAATTATGTGAGACTATGCATACAGATACTGGCTCCTAAGTGCTGGATTTTATAGGTGTATGTTCTGAGCTTGAAAACACATCATCTGAGGAATGGAGAGCATCGCTTCTGCCTAGCTGAGTGTTGTTCTGGGATCTTAAGGGAGTGCACTGGCCCAGAAGTCCAATGAATCGGAGGTTTTACACCTGAAACTGCTACTGCTTTGGGCCAAATGCTTGTGATCACTTTATTATAGGTCTCAATTATATAATTCTGATAAATGCTAATGACTGCATGGGATGCCTTACCCTCAAGAAGAGCCTGCCTTCATTAAGTGACCTCAGGATTCCCAGGAAGGGCATTAAGCTGGTGAATGCTCCAAATTTCATCATTATAAGACAGCTCATTGTCAATTTCCTAGGAAAGGGTCATGTTGAGGTCCTTTTGGTGCAGTGGTTCTACATCTAGGATGATGGTGTCCCCAAGGAGACATCTGTCAAAGTCTGAAGACATTTTTAGTTGTTATAACTGGAGGGAGAGAGAGAGGGTGCTACTGGCATCTAATGGGTAGAAGCCAGGGATGCTGCTAAGCATCCTCCAGTGTACAAGGCAGCCCCCTCCACAACAAAGAATTGATTGGCCCCAGATGTCAATAATGCCAAAGTGGAGAAATCCTGCCTTAATATAAATAAAAGAGGCTATGAAAAGGGGGAGAGGGAAGCAGAATGGGGAAAGGCCCTTTGTGTGGGGAGTTGGAAGCCATCAGCACAGAGAGGCACACATAATAGCAAACTTTTCATTTCGCTGAGGGTTACCCTGAATCTATGCTAGAAAGGCATGGTTGTTAGGATTTGTTGCTATAGTTAAGAGTTCAGAATGAAATGAAACAAAAAAGTAGAATGTCCCTAGGCTTTACTCATGGCTGGTGGAAAAGAGGAGCATGAAAAGAAGAAGTCCCCTAGAGAATACAGAATGCAGGATCTAGATGAGCAGCCTGGATCAATCCCCGTGGGGATCTTTCCATTGAG